CCCAACAGCAACGAAAAAATGCAGGGGAGGTGGAGAGGAAGCGAAAAATCTACTAAATCTGGACTGTTTTGAAGAGCTTGGAGTTATGCTGCAGTCTTGCACTGGCTCTTGGCATCAGCTGCAGTTTACAACATAAGGTCCAGAACTAGCTGGTTCTGCCTGTGAAGTGGGAAGATGAGCTATCGGGGGATAAACTTCCAGGCAGCAAAACACTTGCTGGAGTTTGGAAACGATGCGTCTGATAGCCAGCTCGCTCTAATCTCATGGGTTTCCTAAATCCTAGTGCGAGCCGCTGGGGGTATTCTGGAAATCCTGCTGGTTTTCAGCCGCCTCTGCAAGTAAAACTCTGGACAAACGTAAATTTTGGAGGCTCTGTTATTTACTCTGTGATAAGTTGCCGAGCAAATATTAGCTTCTGGTTCATATCACACACAAAGTCCCCGGTAGCCTGGGGGCTCTCCGAGGGAAGGAGCTCTCTGGAATCACCAAAAGTAAAGGACAGACCTTACTTGACTTTTATTAGCAAGCATGCTTACTGTTCTTCTCTTTTCCCTCCACCAGGAACCCAGCCAGAATGAAACTAGTTCACGTAGCCCTGCTCTATGTCGGCTCTGTGACCTTCTTCGGGGTGGATGCTGCAAGGGTGGACGTAGCGACAGAGTTCAAAAGAAAGTGAGTATCGGAGCGCGCCCTCCTGCCAGCGCCCAGCCCCGCTCCTGGAGCTGCGGAGCCTCCGCGCCCCCGCGCCGGGCTCCGGCCGTGATCTGAGGGACCGGATTCCCTGCGGGAATTGCACAGCTCCTAAAAGGCCTCATGCCCTTTCAGGAAACATCCAAAAAAAAAAAAAAAAAAAATCTCGGCGCTGGCAAAGATTATCGCCCCTCGAATCTATTTGGTTTGGCTCCCGCCCTGCAGGCTTGCGCTAACAGGCTGTCCTCTTCCCTTGCGCTCCTTTCAGATGGACGAAATGGGCACTGAGCCGAGCCAAGCGGGACGCGAAGCCTTCGGGCGTGCTCCGAGGGCTGGGGGCAGCCGGCGACGTGCGGCCGCTCATGCGGACCCAGGACGTGAAGGAGGATCTCCGAGTCTCGCATCCCAGGTAAATTCCAGCCCCTTCTGGGCTCGGGCACTCACTCGAGGCAGTGGAAAGTTTCAGGGTCCCCTCGTTTCCGGGTGTTCAGGCTTATTCTCGCTATAGATCCCCCAAGCCCCGGAGGCAGGTCCTGCCCGGGCTGCACACCCCGCCTCCCTTTCCCCGCGCTCTTCAGCTGGCGGGAGATAGCAGCGCCTGTACTGCGAAAGTCAAATATAAATAGTAACTTGAGCTCTGGATCCATAGAGAAAGTAACAGCCATA